TGTTGGTCAAAGGAGCTACTGCAAAAGTCAAGGTTGTCTGTTATGCTGTTAGGAGAAGAGCCACAGCCCTGTTCCCTTTCTGCAAAAAAATTGAATTATGCCCAGTCTTCCACCTCCTAGCATTTATCTACGCCACAGAATACAGGAGCACGCAGTACCGAGGAAGGGAGGGAAGTCTGGAACTGTCGTGCTGCAGTTAGACAATAAGCTGTAACCAGGACATACTCTTTCTCCTAGGAATTATGCATGACACAGCTAAATGCCTTTGTTCTCTTGGCAGTGCAATTATGTCAAAATCACACTGACCTCTTCTCCCTAGTGTTGCAGAATTGCTTTCAAAAGGGTTTATCAGAGTGATAAAGTACAATTGTGAAAGGAGATGCACTTATAAAATCCTTTAAATTAACCTGAGCTTCTCCTGCTAACAAACTGCCTTCTGCACAATATCCAGCACGTAGTTTTCTTCAATGCAATGAACCATTTTCCTCATCTGATTCTTGCTGGAAGTAAAGGCAATGGCACATCTAGTTCTCTTTCAGATTTTATTGAATATTTTAGTATCAGTAGGTGGGGAACATTTCAGGAAGAACTCCATTGCTTGCAGACGAATATTCTGCTCTGGGCTACATGGGGACAGAGGTGCTGTACAGTGGTCAGAATCAAATCCAGAATTTCAGATTTTTCTTTTTTTTTTTAACAAAGAGATTAATATTTTTGCAGATAGATGGTTCTTATTGTTTTATGTGCAGGCCTGAACCTCATATATATATATATATATATATATATATATATATATATATATATATATATATATATATATTTTTTTTTTCTAGACGTTTGCATGATCCAAGTATGGTTTCAGAGCAGACAAAGCATGACGTGGTGTGTTGCACTGATGCTTTCCATCCAGAGTATGACCCGACTTTCAGTCCTGTTCTGATCAAAAATGACTTTGTTAGCTCAGACCTTTTTGCCCTGGTAGTCTGTTCCCACTTGTCATGCAGTCCAACATCAGGCTGTGACGATCACAGATGTATTACATAGGATTTTTTTGTTTTCTTTTTAACACTCTCTGCACAGTTATCTACTTTATTCTGATCTTAATGTTTTTCTTTTAATGAATAATCTATTAGGTGAGAATAGTGTCTTGCTGAAATGGATAATGCTCTTTTGACTAATAGATACTGTAAAGTCTCCACTCACCTTTAAATTCAAATCAGCTTGTATTTCCTAAAAATGAAATAATGAATGCTTGGGAAGCATTCTGGACATTTATTTACACAGTAGGTTTTTTTTACTATTTTCTATTGCTTTTATATTAAAACTTTTTCCAACTGCTATTTCAGAAGTCAGGAATGAAAAACAAATCAGTGCACTCCCTACTTCTTGTTTTTGTGGGTTTTTTTGTTTGTTTGCAGCTTGTTTTTTTATTGGGAAGGGACTGCACCTTCATAGATCTTCTGGATTGCATTTAGCTGACCTGAGCTTACCTTAAAGCAGGTTCTCACAAGGTTTGAAAAACAGGAGTTTTGTGTGTGAATGTGTGCTGGGGTCGAAGGTAGATTGCTAACAACTTGTCAGTAGTACTTAAGAAAAACATCTAAAAGGAATAAATTAAATCTGAATGCTCAGATCTTAAGATTCTTTTTATGTTTAAGATCAAAAGCAAGAGCAAAGTAAATTGCCTGCTTGTCATCTCAGTATTATTGCATTGATTTGTTCAGATTTCTTTCCTAAGCTTACTAATAAAAGCGAGGGGAATACAGTTGAGTGAACAAAGAAATACTATTGAAGTTAAAAAAAAAAAAAAAAAAAAAGTCAGATTTCTATTAATACACAGCAGTGACCTGTTTGTTTCTTTGTTCAAGATGTAACAGATTCTAACACAGCCATAACAAGAATGAATTGTAACATTGGAAATAAAGAATACCTGAAAACTGAAGTCTGGGAGCAGTTTTCACTGTGTGATACCTAAGATGAATACTAATACTAGCAGAGGCTGGTCCAGAGCACCTCAAATCCACAAGGGCATTTCAGATTTGAATACCCATCCAGTGGAATTTGCATCTGAATGATAAGTCTGCTAAAATAGAGAATTTGAATGAACAGTGTCCATAAACAGCAGCTTGCTTAAGGCAGTCTGCCTCACATAGCCAACAGGAGGTAAAATAGGAGGTAAAATAATTTTTAAATCACTGGATTTAAATCACCTGGATGCTCTGTTGGTGAGGAATCACATTTGCAGTATTTATCAATTGCTCCAATTTCAGTTCTTTACCAAATACTTCATTGGGTGCAGGCAGGTAGCAGATGCTAATCGTAACCGGGAGAAGCTGCAGTATTTGTTGGAAAAGGAAAAAAGCTGTGTGACTCATGGGCCAAACTTTGCCTGGCTTTGGTTTTGCTTGCTGCTGATTTTGGCTAAATGGCCTAAGATAGGTGCCTCAAAAATCTCCTGAATTCTCACACAATGGGAGATTTTGTTTTTTCTTGTAGTATAACTGAAGTTGTTTCCTTGCTTTTTATTTGTAGTCCTTCTAACTACACTAAAACTGTAGGTTGGAGTTTTGTTTACTTATGATGACACAAGTCTTCACTTCTGGTCTTCTTTTAGTGCTGAAAGTTAAATTCCATGGACGGTAGAAAGCTGTTACTTTACACACACACACACTGATGCTTCCATTGCTTATTTCCCTTACAAAGCGCTTTTTCTCTCTTACTAAAAGTGTCACATGCAATTTGCATCTCGCTATGATTTTGAATGTTATTTTTTTTCCTAAGTTTTTCAAAGACTGAAGTTGTTTGGAAAAGTGGAAAATATTAAAATGAACTTATTACCATAGTAGCACTGTTACTGAGTAGAAACTAGTAAAGATATTTTACAAATCTAGCTGGTGTAGTATGCAAGCAAGCCAAACATTTGGCTCCTTATGTTCCATCTTTGGAGACTAAGCCACAGCTTTTTACCTTTAACAGGTAAAGACCAAGATCCTGTCAAATCTGTGATATTATATGCCTGAGAATAGAGTCTAGAATGTTACTAAAGATACTGATTATTTGTTGGGCACTTGAAGGACAGGAAAATGCTATATCCATAGATACTTTACAGCCATCTCTAAGCTGGCTCACTCTTAAAATTATTGCAACAAAGGAAGATAGTCTCAGTCTAACAAGTAAGATGTCATATATAAAGTTCCCACAAAGTTCAGTTTTGCTTTCTGTACTGGACACGATACTCAACCCCACCATAACAGCTCTGGGTTGGGCCCACACTGCCTGATGCTTCAGGCAGGAATGTGGGGGCCTAGAGGGGAAGCAAGTGTAGCCCCAAGGCTTGGATACATGCACATAATGAGAAGGAAACACCCTCTTGTTCTGCCTGGAGTACTTAAGGATGTTGTATTAGATAGTCGCTGCAACATGGAGCTTGTGAGAAACAACTCTTGCTCTCAGTGAACTGACCATAGCGTCAGTTTATGTTGTAATTCCCTATATTGTAATTCTAAAAACAATATAAAAGCATGCAGTCTCTGCAAAGAACCCATTATGTCACACTGCTACTTTCTGAGATATTCTTATTGGATTTCTCTCAAGGGGGGAAAAAAAAAAATTGACTGTTTTGCTAGGTTCCTGCAGCCAAGAGCAAGCTCTCCATGTTATAATGCTGACTTACAAGTGTAACTGTTACACAGCTAAGTGGGTGTTACAGAACAAAAGGAATCAGTACTGATAAACAGGATTACAGACTAGTTTCATTTGGCAATGACTTTCACACACCACTGTTCAATGTAAAGTTTGCTTCACTCTCACTTCCATCTTGAGTCATTTGCTATCTGAGGAAGGTTTGACTTTTGAAATATGAAAACCTACATAGCTTTTACCAAGCACACAGCAGAATAATTTATATTTTGCTTTCCAAGCTGCTTAATTTTTAACTATAGATTGATCCTAGTTTATGTATTTTACATCAGTCTTCAAATCACTGTCTATCTCCCCTGAAAGCAAAGGACAGATGTAGCCCACTGTCTTAAGACAAGTTCACCTACTTTCCTATCATTTAATGATGGTGAACTGAATCTAAGCCTACTGCAGGCAAAAAGGTGAAAGGCATTCTGGTTGAGGAAATGAGGATTTCCTTGTAAAGCTATAACCGTGGTCCTAGTCACAGCTCTCTGCCTTTACATTGTCTATAATCTCTTCCAGCATTTACTTTGTCTGAAGGCAAAAATCAGTTGTTCCTAGCATTTTTTTTGTCACTAACAGTTATAACAACTCATGAACAACTCATTCTCTGCACTGGCACTTGATCAGGACAAAATGCATGTTGCCTTTTGTGTTAAGCATGGAATGGGACATTAGGTTTCTTTATTTAAAACCTAAATATCTTTGAAAATAAAAAATATCTATGCTTTTTGTTTTGACTTTTTTTTTTTTTTTTTTAAAAGGGCCACTTACACTTTGGGTAAATAGCTTTATGATGTCTTTAGTGAATTTTCTGCATATTAATTAACAAATACAGCTACAGTTCATAGCTTTCAGCTTATGTTTCCTTGACATAATTCTTCAGGTAGTTATTTATTACTTTTTTTTCTAAATTAAATCAATTTCCTCTGGTGTATTCCTTCTTTCTAGCCAAAAGGGTTAGCAAGATGACAAATGCCTTGCAGTAAGCATGAAGACGTGGGAATCCAGTAACTCTAAACAAATCTAGTGGAGTGTTAACATCATTCTTTTTACTCATTTATTATGGCTACAATTTATTGCTGTTAACTCATTATTTGTTTAAAATGCAAGTTTGGCTGAATGGTTTCCTTTTCATTTCATGCTTTATGAACCACTAAGTACTGCAGGTAATCATGACATCTGTGCTTACTATCAAATTTTTCCTGCAACCCCAATAGTGGTGTAATACAACTTCAGCAGTGCCTTTCAGTACAAACACATATTATATATAAACTGCAAATGCTAACTATATGTATGCTTTTTATTTTTTTGAACAGGCGTTAAAGCTGTGTTTTCAGGACATTACCACAGGAATGCTGGGGGGTGCTACAGAGGACTGGAAATGGTGGTCTCATCAGCAATAGGATGTCAGCTGGGAGAAGATAAACATGGACTTCGAGTGGTCCTTGTCACAGATGAAAAGATTGTTCATAGATATTACAGTTTAGATGAGTTGAGCAGCCAAGGCTTGGAGAACGAGATGATGGATATGCTTGCTAAGGAAAATTAGGCTATGTGAAATTCCTTTTAACTCAAGTGGTTTATGTGATCTTTTGCCATATTTGTTAGATGAACACAAAGAGTTTCAGAAAGTTTCCACAACTTGAAATCAAATTTTTGCTTGTGCACATTGCCCATGAGCAGCTCTCCATTTGTTATCATCCTAAATAACAAAAAAGAGTTCTTGAAGTATTTTTTTGTAAAATGAGACCCACAAGGAATATGGGAAAATAACACATCACTGAAAACATTTTTCTGTTCTGAGATTTTATACTCTCCTCATGGATAAGACATTCTAAATAAATAGGAGGTATATGCAAGAGTGAGAGTAGTAATTCTAGGTAATGCTTCAACTGAAGACTATTTTCATTTGATATGTAAGACATTAGAAAAAGAAAAATCAATAAATTCAATCACCTCAGTTACACTCTGGACAATACAAACTTTTTTTTCTCAAAAAGTCAGTGAAAGCAATAGACTCCATTTAAATACAGTAGAGGAGGTGAAATACTGTGTTGAAGATTCAATTTCATTACATTTTAGTTACAACATTTTATTTGAGAGAGGGCTCATGAGATTTTAAAAATATCTGCAGTATTTTGAACTGTTTTCTTTTACCAGTATAACAGCTGTAGCTGCAAGGGGACAGTACCAAACATGAGCTACAATCTCATGATAACAGCCTAAGCGTAGGTAATGTTTGAATCAAAAAGAAAGAAAATGATTTTGCTTTTGATCTCCAGCTGCTTTTGATTAGTTTAATGTTTTCACAGGTTCATTTTCAAGGGAACATGCGGAAAACGGGAGAGAAAATCTAAAGTTAGCTAAACATCCAGAAAGAAGTTTCACTGGAAGTTAAGCAGTTAATTTATTAGTTTAATAGTTAAAAGTTATTTTAAAAAATCTGTGTAATTTTATATCTTTGAAACCACCGAGTTCTGTTAACATTTAGTCCTAGATTACATTTAGTAATCACAGGTTATTAAAGGTTTCAAAAACAAGATGATACTAGATTATTACTTGCAGAGGGAAGAACAGACTTGCTATTCAGTCTGGCATTTACGTTTTAAGGCTGAAAAAGTTCAGCAGAGGGACCTGAGACAGTCCAAGCCCAGAGCACGCTCCCTGCTCTGGCACAGTACTGTAAAGCTGGATGGAGGACATGCTTTTTTCGTATGGCCGTTTATTCAATGTAATTTTAACTGAATATCTGAAGCTTGGGAGATGGGTCCTACCAACATAACTTCAGGAGGAAGTCTTTCCAAAACTACGAAAACATTAATAGTAGTGGTATTATAGAACTCTAATTTTATTTTCATGGTTATAATGTACTAATATACAGTGGAAATGTTTGCATAAGCATCATTTTAATTCATATTTGTAAATTATTTTTCCTCTTCTTAAGTATCATTTCATTGCAAGAAATTCCATAGCATACTGTCATAAAAATTTTGCTCAAGTACAAATCTGAAGTTCAATTAAAAGAGATTTTATATCCCAAGTACTCCTTTTATTTGGAATGTGCTTTTTTACCTGCATAAATGAAAAATGTTTTTTAGATTAATTTTCTTAGTATAATCAGCTACTTCAGAATTAATACGGATGCCTTAACTAACTACAGATGGCAGAGGTCTTCACGGTGAGAGCGCATCATATTTATGTAAAGTAACTCATATTCACAGAATCACAGAATCGTAGGGGTTGGAAGGGACCTCCAGAGATCATGGAGTCCAACCCCCTGCCAAAGCAGTTCCTACAGCAGGTCGCACAGGAAGGCATCCAGGCAGGTCTTGAACATCTCCAGAGCAGGAGATTCCCCCACCTCCCTGCAGCCTGTTCCAGTGCTCCGTCACCTCACCTAAAGAAGTTCTTGCGCACATTCATGTGGAACTTCCTATGCTGCAGCTTATGTCTGTTTCCCCTTGTCCTGTTTCCACGTACCACTGAAAAGAGACTGGCCTCACCACTATGGCCCCCACACCTCAGGTATTTATAAACCTGGATTAGATCCCCTCTAGTCGTCTTTTCTCAAGGCTAAATAGACCCAGTTCACTTAGCCTTTCTTCATAGGGGATACTGTGTTAAATTATGAAACAATCCTGGTTTGCCAGTTTAAACTGAAAAAAATGCTTCTTCTGAATCTTTCTTGAAAGAAAGTAAATGCTTGATGTCTCATAAAAAGAAAAATGATATTTTACGGTGGGAATGGGCAGTGATAGAAGTGAAGCCTCTTCTACCATCTCAATTTAAGACTGAATGTTCCATGCTCACCTTGCTTCTTTGCTTCAGTGAATGCTCTCTTATCTCTCCACTGTAACTTGTTTCCTGGTGTGTTTTTAGTAGCAATTTTAATTCTGCTGTGAGCAAATAGAGATGTATCTATCATAAGCAAATGCACAGCACATTGAAAACCAAGCATTTCACCATTTAAGAATGCACAGTTCCTCTGTCTATGTATGTCACTGTACAAACTTTTGAAGGCTAACATGTCATTGTTTCAGTTAATGTTAGTGCTGTGAATAAGCTGCTTTCTGTAACGCCCTCATTAATCCTGCTTTGCAACTGCCATTTGAGCAGTGATATCATTGAAAGCAGTAGAAAACATTTACATATACTTTACTTATCAGAAAGCTTGCCTGCCAAACAAACCCTAGCATCATCTGTTATGATACACATTCTTGACCTGTGGAAATACCAGTTTGCATTAAAAAATTGTGAAAAGGTAATTTCCCATTCAATAACATTTTAGTTTGTAAGAACTTCCTTCTCTTCCAGTTCTAACCTGATATATGATGTCTGCCATCATTGGTAGATGGCAGAATGCACAGCCAGGAACCAAGGAGGTGAGTGGTTTAGCCTGCCAGTGGTCTAGATTGCCATGAACCATTGGCTCCCACTTAGCTGGAAGTTGGCAGCTGTCCCATCCTGCTCCAAAGGGACGCTAGCTACTCCAAAGGCTTTTCAGTCTGTTCTCTGCTGGCAAGTGGCTGCTCTTCAGCATTTGTCAAATATGAATATTCACAGCAATGCAACATGACTAATTTTCACAGTTAACAACTATATAAAGGCTGGTCAATATAGCCTGAAGGTAGGCTCCCCACTGCCATAATATGCACAGTGTACAAACCAGGGCAGACTTCCTCCTCCCAACTCCACAGATCCCATTGGGCCCTTTTAAGGATGCACAAATTGCAGTAACAAAACAGGGTGATCTAAGGCATGTCTACTTTGACTCACAAGATAGCAGTTATGACTTCTTACAAAAATTTAATCGTCAGAGCAATATAATTCATCTGGAGTAAAGCAGCCCATGAGTTTAAAGACTGCTGTTCTCCCTACTATTACTTGTTTGTTGCTGTTTTTAAGGAATATGATGACTGTAATGCGTAATTCCAATTTATTTCATTTTACTGCAGTGAAAGCAAAGTGGTTTATTACCAAAAATAAGTTTCCAGCAACAGGGATTGCTGTACTTACTCAGCACATTTCAGGATATTTTGTTCAGACTGCAGATTTTTACATTCTCCTTAAAAAATTTTACATCATCATAAAAAACAGTGGAAGGAACAGAGCTTAAAATGGAAGTATGAAATGAAAACTTCTTCATGAAAAGTATGTTCTTTAAGAGTGCACTGTTTCAACACAGTAATAATTAGTTTGAATTACTGTAATGCTATAATGTGATGGAAAGTACAGCAATAGTAGCAGGGTGGCACAATCCTGGGCTGCAGAAAATGAGAACAAGCCTAAAGGCTGCAGCCACAGACGCAGAAAGAAAGGAAGAAAAACTTCTGACCTCTGGAGGACCTCAGGTACACAGGGATCTCCAATGACATCCCCTCACCTCCTCCACTGCCAGCCCTTAAATGAGGGCTGGGAAGAGGTGGGTCCTGGTTCCACCCTTCCATCATTCAGTGCATTGCATTGCATTGCATTGCATGCACCTGAGCTCCCTGGGCTGCCCTGCCTTCCCACCAGGTGCTCCATCACTGCTTCAGGCCACGGCTCAGCATTTCTGATGTAGTTACGTTTTTAAGAAAGCGAGTAAAAAAGAGAACAAGAGAAAAAGAGGGAGAATGCTATTTGTTTCTGTGACCCAGTTTGAAATAGTCCAACTGAGAAAACAGCGTTCCTTTTCACTGCACAGCAATTTAACACAGATGTTAAATGCATTTACAAAATTGAATTCATTTACAAACATAAATTCACTGATCTGTCAAATTAATATTTTTTTCCTATTCTTATCATTTGGTACACTGTTGCAATAGATTAACTGAGTTTGGTTTTTTTCCTAATGTGAATTTCTGAGCCTAATTATTAAAGAATTTTGTTTGCTGTGGACAAATGCAGGGGGTGGTTTCCAATGTGTCTCATTCAAAATTAATTCTAAATTTTACAGCTTAAACTTTTGATATAAATCAACTTGCATTAGAAAAACACTTCAAGAAAATCAATGATTTGAAAAGATAGAGAGTTCAAAGGGAAGAATCTAAATATATCCAAAAAATGGTGGAACTATGACAAAACTTCACTTACAACAATGTTTAACCCAAAGGACTTTCACAGAACTATTTGTTTCACTCCTGTTCTTACCTGTACATTAGGTGGTATAAAAGTTTCCAGCTCACACTGTTAGATTATTTCTTAGCTCTCTAATATCAGTGCCGACATCTAATTGCTCCCCTTATCCTCCTAAGAAATAATGCAATCCTAATTTATTATGCATCTCATTAAAGATGCATTGTACCACTAACCAGCTAAAGGTATTTTACTTGAAGCTTCTGGAATTTATTTTTAAGTCTTCAACATTTTAATTGCTTTGCTTTGCCCTTCGGTTCCTAGAAATTAAATATAAACACACAACTTTCTATGCAACTAGAATATAACCCATGAAATTTCTGTACTCTTAAACAACATTATAGCAACACAAATTTATGTGCTTACATTTATTGCTACTGTTTCTTGTGTTTTCCTTCTTCCCCTTTCCCCACTTCCCCCTTCCCTCCTCCCCCCCTTTTTTTTATTAAACATCTAAGAAAATAATTCTTCCCTTAGTTGTCTTCAAAAAGTAGTTACACCTGGTAAGATTTGAGATATTTAACTACTCCCTGGCTTTTGAATATGCCTCCATTTCTCTCTGTCCTATTATTATACGTCCTATTATTATAATCTGGGAAAAAAATCTGGTTGCGCTAGCTGTAAGTCCACAGGTACGCCCTGTTAAAACAGTCTGGGTAATGAAGATCTCAGGACCTCAGGGAAACAGGCACCTGCTTTAATCATAAAATAATAAAGGCTGGAAAAAACCTCTAAGATCAGGCAATCCAACCATCAACACATCACCACCATGCCCACTAAACCACTAACCTCAGTGCCACATCTTCCCTTTTCTTGAACACCTCCACAGACAATGACTCCACCAGCCTGTTCCAATAACACACCACTGAGAATAATTCTTCCTTCTATCCAACAGGAACTTTCCCTGGCAACCCTGGCATTTCTCCTCTCATCCTAGTGCTGGTTATACGGGAGAAGAGGCTGACCCCCACCTTGCTACAGCCTCCTTTCAAGGAGCTGCAGGGAGTGATAAGGTCTCCCCCTGAGCCTCCTCAACTCCACACTGAACAACCCCAGTTCTTTCTGCCGCTCCTCATAAGACTTGTGTTCCGGACCGACCTTTCATAGCTTTGTTGCCTTTCTTTGGACACACTCCAGGGCCTCAACAACTTTCTTGTCATGAAGGGCCCAGAACTGAATACAGCACAGAACAGGTGTTGTGTACATCAGAGCTGAGTACAGGAAGACGATCACCTCCCCGCTCCTCTTGGCTGCGCTGTTTCTGATACAGGCCAGGATGCCCTTGGTCCGCATGGCCATCTGAGCATACTGCTGGCTCACGTTCAGCCAGCTGTTGATTAGAGCTCTCAGAATCCTTCTCCAGCATGCAGTTTTCCAGCCACTCAGTTTCAAGCCTGAACTACTGCACTTGGTTTTCAGGAACTTCATACCACTGGCCTCAGCCCACCAAGCCAGCTTATCCAGACCCCTCTGTAAAGCCTTCCTACCCTATGCAGATCAACACTTCTTCCAGTTTGGTGTTATCTGCAAATCTACTGATGGTGCCATCTATCCCATCATCCAGGTCATCAGTGAAGATACTGGTAACATAATAGTAAGTAGATGTGGTCTGAGTTAATTGCAAAGATTAAGAAATTATTTAAGGTCCTTTCCATCCATATATTCATTAGGATAAAATTTTGCTGTTATTTTGTTTTGCAAGCATAGGAACGATACTGTTATACAATTTGATTATGCAATCCCTGTGATGATATTCAAAGGCATGCTATTCCTAAACAAACTTGCTGCTAATCAAAGATTCAGTTGTAAGGAGAGCTGGCAATGCAAACTCCAGGATGTGTGATCCAGGGGCATTATTTGAGTGTTTCCTACAATGTTAGAAGGTGAAAGCCACTTCACTTTAAGCCACCAACTGAGGTTCAGGTCTTAGAAATCTCACTTTTACACTAAGATCTGCTGAATAGCAATCCTAGTTTAATTGAACATGGTGTAGATTCAGTCCTCTTGGGGACTTAAACATAGTGAAGATATTGTTTCATAACTATGACAGAGCCTTAGCAGAAAAAAATGGAAAGAAGTTTCTGTATTAGAACAGCAAAGCATGTACTCGTCAAAATTACTGTATGCATTTAGGGAAAATAGTTGCAATTAAACTAATTATAATTTAAGAGTACTTAAATGACTAACAATAAAGACTGCATCTTAATTTTTCTGCATTCACCAGGCATCCTTCTCTGGCCTTGTACGTGAACCACCTGATACTCTACAAGGCCACAGGAAAGAGTTTATCTAAACAAAGTCATCTGTTTTCTTTAAAAATGCATGACTGTTTGCCAGGTGGGAAAGCTGCATTTTGAATTCTCTCCTTTAGCAAAAATTGACAAGGTAAAAGAGGAATATACACCTGAAATACACATCTTTTAAATGTAATAAAAGAACTAGCAAGTGCATACTGCATCCATCAGTACCTCTTAATTCTCTGCTAGGGAAATCAGATAGCTGAGTTTCTTCAGTGTTAATGCTCATCCTTGACTCATTTCTTTAAGGCTATCAGAAAAATGTATTGTGTTCAGTGTTCCAATTGAAGGAACTTAAAAGAGCCTCCCATTGTGCATAGGAACTCATACAGGAAGGCACACTGAAGCACTACAGAGGGAACATCTTGAGTTTCCAGTAGGTTCTCAGTTTGTGGATTCAGACATAAATGGCATCAACTTAGATTCAATACCAATATTTTAAATTAGTGTCTCTGTCCAGAAACAGGGTGTGGAATTGTCCAGCCAGATCCCCGTATTTGGAGGCTTAATAATAGAGAAAGAAGAAAGGACAGATTGACAGACTTTTTTTTCCCTCACAGACTAAACCTTCCCTGAAAACAGGTACCATGACAGTAACATATGACTGAGCATCCAAGCACACTGCACCTTTTTATCACCTCAGCCCTGAGAAGCTACTATTTCAGCGATAAGTACTTGACAAGACATGACTAATGCAATTTAATGCACTTAGAAGTCTTGATAAAAATAACCATTTATCAAAGAAAGCTTTTTAGTAAAAAAAAAATCTTTGAGTATTCTTACAGCCTTGCAAAGTAAAATCAAGTTTCACTGAAATTAAGACTTTAAAAGCCTTGAGAAACATTATTCAAAAACATTTTGATGTGCTGAATTGTTAGCCACTTTTTAATTGACATCAAAGAAGGAGGAAATTAAAATTTTAGTAATACTTCAAAATACCCTATTTTGATTACTTGACCTGATATCAAACTGTATGGAAGAGTTGTATTCAGAAATGTGTGTCTGTCATCATCTCTGTTCCTTAAGCACAGCATAAAAGAAGCAAAACGGCTGGGAAAATTTAATATCTAAAATTTAGTATCAAGCAAAATATGTGGAAGTGGTTTAATTTCTGTACCTCAGTTGTAAATTAGACCATTATTACTCTGAACTAAGCTTTATCAAATGTCACTGAACACATTTCACAATATGTGTCAAACAAACTGTTGGATAAGTTCTTTGTAATGTGCTACATATGGAGTAACATTGATTCACTTTAGAATGAGGACAATACAACCTTCAAACAGAGTTTGGATTTTGAGATATCAACTAATTCATTCAAGCATTTTCACCTAGAACTCATCAGAAAAACAACTACTCCCTTCACCCTATAGTTAATGTCCAGTCTCTGGACAACACCACATCTACTGGACACCACCATTAGCCAAAATCCAGGATACATGTTTGGCTAGTTAGCTTTTATTAAGAGCAGTAGCCATTCAAAGAACAGAATATTCCAGTTCTAAGTGAAACCTAGCAATTCCAGGACTTTCAAATTGCTTCCTTGGCCTTTGCAAACTTCTGACCTTTTCATCTATTTAGTGATGGGTGGAATAAGCAAAGGCTGCCTCAGAATCAAGAGCAACAGTTGAACAGCAAGACTATCTTAAGCAAGTTACAGAATAGCGACAAAAGGATAACTTTTAACTATGTTTTGTATTTATACATAGTAATTTACACACACACATACATATATAATCTGAACGAAGAAACCTCTTCCAGAAACTGGAAAACATCAACTGAAATCCAAATTTAACCACCATTCCCTTAGCTAATCATGATATTGCTCTTAATTGTGTCTGCATACTGCTTTTTGTCTTTGAATTTTTTCTTAAGGTTCCTGCACTTATTTTAAAGGAAATATAGCAAGAGAAAACTAGTGAGCAGTTTCAATCCTTCAAAATCCTTCAAAATTATTCGTAACCCAAAAAGTTCACAGAAAACACAACCTATACAAGCTTATGTACAAAGGGAAACATTTTAAACTTGTGTAAACTGCAAAAAGTCTTTGAATGTTGAACAATTCTGACAGTCTCTGCTTAGCTGCAAATGATCCTATAACACATCATATTCAGTAAATTCATTATTAAAACTTGCCTTCATCTTCATGTATAAATCACACTGTATATTAACAAAGAACCAGGAAAGTGCACTTCAGGTTGAGAGCTGCACCCATCGCACACTTTTGACTTCGTTCTGAACAGCATGTTTTTCACTTTATAGTGGAAGAAACTGCTTAAGAAAAAACCTAGAAGAAAACAACAAAATACTGCTTTGAGACATCAAACACACTGCAGATGTGTGTTTTTCCCTCTGCCCAACCTACAGCTTGGTCAGTTTGGTTCACGGGTTTACAACATTTGTTCTGAAAGAAAAAGAGGTCCCTGCCCCTCAAGAGTACTCCACAGCTTTAGTCAATGGGTAAATCATGATGA